GCCGAGTTCGAGGAGCCCTCGCCGAGCCTCGCCGGTAAGCTGCGGCCCCGGGGACCCCCGGGGTTGCAGCCGCCCCGCCGACCGCCCAGCTCCGGCGGCCACTCTCCCTCGGGGTCTCTCCCGCCAGGCTCCTGGGCCCGCCCCTTCTGAGCTGTCGGCTCCCTGTGTTCCCCCCCACTTGGCGTGACGGCCCCCCGGACGCACACTGCCGAGGTTGCGCGGGGGTGGGGATGCCAGGTGTCCCCTTCTCCGTCGGGTTCCTGGGAGCCCTGACCGGGCCCTGGCAATCCCGCGTCCTCCCTCTGAGTGTTCGGGCTCCTGCCATTCCACAGTGTGTTCACCTCCCTCCTCCCTCGAGTTCCGGGGCCCCCAGAGCTGGACGGAGGCCTCCACGGGGGTGGAGGGGAGCGAACGCCTGTGTGTGCTTAAGGGGCGCGGCCAGCCTCCTTCACGCCGGGTGCCCCCGGCTGGCGAGAGGAGGGGCAACCCGGCTGAGCGCCGCCTCCCCCGCAGCCCGCAGAGGCGACGGAAAGCTGGCAGTGATCTGGCCTCCTCGCAGAAAGGCCTCGGATAACTGCTCGGAACAGGTGGGGGCCCCCCCCGGGTGCCTCGAGCGCTGGTCGCTTCCTTCACACCTGCCTGGGGCGCCCAGACGCTGGGTGGGGACAGGTGTCCCCGGGCCCCTTCTCCCCCCGACCCGCCTCCGCCCCAAGCGCCACTCTGGCCAGAATTCACGTCTGGGCGCAGTCCGGGGTGAGGAGGGGGCGGTGGTCGAGGGTCCCAAGCCGCGCCCCCCCGCGCCCGCCCCTGAGGCCGGCCTTCCGTCCCGCCCTCCCTCCGCAGGAGGAGCGCAGACCTTGAGGTTTGAGCCTGTGAGGGGCCCCGGCCGGAAGTCACGTCCCCGTCGGAGAACCAGGGCGGGGGCGCCCAGGGGCGGCCGCCGCGCCCTCGAGATGGGCAGCAGCCTGGAGACGGGGCGGCCCGCGGCGCTGCGGAAGATGGACTCGGCCAGCCGGCCCCTCCTCGATCCTGACTTCGTGAAACGGACCGGTCCCCTCCTTAGAACTGTCGACTCGCCCCGTGGGAAACTGACCACCACCCGCCACCCCGCCGGGGAAGCCGTCCAGCC